AAAAATATCTAAAAAATAAAACCGTGAAAAGGACTATGGCGAAAACTGCAAATGGGCTTGATGCATTAACGCAAAAATGAACTTGACATCTCATATAATAAGTCGAAGAGTTTTGACCAGATCGGGTGCTAAGTAATCCTTTTCCTAAGGCAGTGGTAAGCCAAATGTTCCAATTCACGTAATCAGCAGATTTTTTTGAACCTAGAGGACCAAGGTATTCATTTGTTTTTTTTTATTTTTCTTGCTTAATCATATACTACAGACTTTTCTTTGCAATGCCGGGAACTGCTTCATTGTTGCGAAAAGGGTAGAGAGATATCGGAGAGATATTGAACGCCATCGTTACTGCAACCGAAAACCACATGTCCTATTTCTGTGCAGCAAAGGAAGTCCTGAGGAACTGACACAGACATAAAAATCAGTCGACATCACATATTGATCCTTCACTTGGAGTGATCGGTTATCAAGTTTTTTTTTTCTGAAGGCAATTCGACCTCCTCTCTCACAGGAAAGGATGGTTGGTCTAAGTAAGTGGCCATTTGAAGTGAGACGATATACCTGGACAAAGTTATGCAGGATTTTTGACCAGGTCACACCCATTTCCAGCATGTATATGAGGTGCTCCAAATTGCCCAAATTGGCTGGAATCTGAAACTAGAGGTGCTTCAGTGCCCTGGAAATCAACACTGCAGTTATATTTCGTGAAAACGTCTTGTACGCATTCTGGAGGGGCAGGGTGTGCAGGAACCTGCAACGTCCTTGGCAAGCGTTTTTACGCCGAACGAGTGTGATATTCGTGCTCTGGGGCTCAAATTAGCCCTAGAGACAAGTTTTCAACCAAATTTGAGATTTCGACCTATTTTCGATACAGTGGGGTAACCATAGGCAGCCAATTCCTAAAGGTTGCTGGCACTATCGCCGATTCAAATCTCTGTGAGCAGTGGAGGTTCCTCGCTAAATCTTAGTCCTTGTTGGTTACTGACGGTCCTGATAACAACCACGACATCCACTTTTGGCTTCCATGCCATCTGGAATCAGTTTGGCCTCACAACACGACGGAACGAATAATGCCGCCGAAACCAACAATCAGGAGTTCCCACTAGGAGTGTTCCAGAATGGCTCTATCACATCAGAAATAAAATTTTTTGGTAGAATCAGGTCTCCTAGCCTCGCAGAAGTGCTTTCCGGATGTGCAGGAGGCATTTTGAGAAAATGCAAAATGACGAATCATGGAGGGATTCGAACCTCTCACCTCGCATACTTGAGCGCGGCACACTACCCACTAGGCCACCGATGCACTTCGTGTGACGACTCACGTCTCATTTGTGTACCAAGCTCAATTGTGCTCCGTACAACAACCTCCTGCATATCTCTGCTCAGAGAAGGTTCTTAATCCCTTTTTTTCTTGCTTTCTTAATGGGAAATTTTGTGAAACTAAAACAGCGCCGGGATCTAGAGGACATACCCTTTTCGGAGAGTCCTCAATCTCTTCCGAAGCCACACAAAAATCCCTTGTAGTGTCATTGTTGTGGGCTGTTTTGGACGACAAGAAATACCCACCCTGCGGTGAAATTTCTAGTTTGTTTGGAAGCTTGAAAATGTTCTTAGAAATTGCCTTTCCGTCGTATCGTAGTTATCGAGAAACAGTTTACTCGGGCGTGATCAACTCCGGCTTTGTGCTGCGCCATGCAACCAACTTCCTCGATTCCGGCGCACGGTGGGGTTTCGCCGGCAGAACTCCGGCACTCGCTAGGGTCCCAGGCATTACAGCGAACTCCGGCATTCCTAGGATTCCGTCGCATACTACAAAACTCCGTCACTCCTCGGGATTCCGCTGACTGTCCACTATTTTCATGACCCGTATCTGCCCTCTGTTCTTTGAAAAGCAAAATGTGCAAGTGCTGAGAAGGGTGTAATACAGCGCATCAGAAGTCTCTGAAATCTCTGTGACTATTCAAAAATATTTCCTTCCAAATAAGCTGAATAAGCTCGGAAAGGGAGGGGTTTTCGGCGGGCTCAAAATAAGATAGAGCACCCTCTTGCGCAGTATGTTGCAATTAGGCCAAAAACTCTGGAAGTATCCTTTTTTGAATATCAAACTTTCTTGACAGTGCAACTTCTGAAGAGAAAAAAGCAGGGTTGAAGAGCTTTAGGTTTAGTATTCAGTAGGTGTGCCATTCTGAAATTTCTTCTTCTGGGAGTACTTCCTTCTTGCAAAAGTGCCCACTCCTCCCTGATGCCCACTATTTGAAAAACTCCCCGTCGTGATTTCCTTATGACAATTCGGACCACCACGAAAAATTCACCCTTCGGCTCAGTACCTCTTCCATTTTATTTGGAGACTTGGATAGGCTTTTTGAGCAGATCTTTTCGTCAAAGTTACTGGGAAGTAGCTCGTTCGGCGCAGATTGACAACGCCGCAGTATTGCGCCATACGTTCGATTCCCACGCAGAGGTACTGGAAAGGTCTAAATGTGCTCCTACGGCTCAGAAGTACCAGAGCGTATAATCTGTACAGCTCGCTCAGGGAATGACGACTTCGTTGTGGACGGTCACCGTCTTAGCACCGCCCGTGCCTCACTTCTGGGCTTGTAGCTTGCCTCTGCCCTAGGGTATCTCTTCAAGCGTTTTTCAGAGCAAGAACCAAGAATCCCTTTTTATTGAACAGTGATTGTGCAACATCTGACTATCGCTGCTCTTCCCATTCCCAAACGAGCCCTGCGTTTAAGACTTCCCTCCATCGCTGCCAAATCTTGTGGTATTAGTAGACCGCTATCTCAGCACCTTGTCATTTCTGTTGTTGAACCAGTAATCAGTATTCTAACTCGTAAATTTATTCGTATAAATTTATTAATGCAATATGTACTTTCCATATGCCAAATACGTTCTCAAGAACATTTTAGCTTATTGTGCCTGCACGATGTACATATTTTTCCGGCAATACAGAGCCACAAGGCAATCACCAACGATGCGAAACCATAGACGGTCATCAGCCAGTCGCTCAGGAACACTCCAAACAATAGCGACGTCATCAGCCGCACCAGGTCAAACTGCAGAGCGAAGCGACTAGAATTCACTTCGTTTGAAATCACAAGAATCACGTTTAGTAGCCCTCTTGCCTAGATACTATAACCAAGAACCAACTTGTGATCGAAATAGTAGCCAAACATTTGAATGAAGGCGATGATAAAGCTGAATCGGCAGAGAAATTCGGGCCAGCCGAGGTGCAAACGGACCCCTACGAAGTGCACAAAATAGTACAAGAGAAGGACCCATTGCCCGAATAGATAGTAATGAAGAGCGCCTGATAGTGG